GATCAATCTAAATTTAAGAAAATCAAAAATTAAGAAACAACGCGGATAATTTTTTTTTGATTAGAATCGATCAAACGATCGAATTATAGATAATCAAATGATAAAACATCAAAAATCATCGAAAAATTGCCTCAAAGATGAATCAAGCTTGAACTCAATTGTCCTGATATCATTTCAACTCTAACAAATTTTTGTTATTTTGCAAAACTTTTCACTAAACGTAAAGATAAAAATGAGTTTGTTACCACTCAACATAACCAAAGAATATTTAATATGGAATTTCAAGCCTTAACCTTAAAATCCCACAAACATGCGCAAAACAAAAGAGAAGCTCTATCCTTGTTTTTTTTTTTTTTTAATGTTGGTTGTACACACCAAATCCAAAATTTTTTTTTTTGTTGCTAAATGGTAAATATTTCGTTAAAAATGAAAATGTTTTAAGTTTACAAAATAAACTGTAAACTTATAGGATGATCCAATGGCAAAAAAAAAGTAAAAACATGGAAGCATAATTCATCAAAATTTTCGGTTCGCCCGTTCGACATAAACTCATAAGCATAATCCAAAATATTATCATCAATTGTCAAACATATGCGTTTTTATTGGTTTAACAAAGGATTTAGTTTTGAGTTACTTTAACAAGATAACAGAGGCTTTGTAAATTTATTTGTAATCATTGATTACCGAATCATTTTTAACTATTTACTAGTTGTTGTGTAGTGAAGTTGGGTAGATTAGAAATATGGTCGGGACCAAAACACAAGTGTGTGAAAACAAACTTTATCCAATCTTCACGAGTGAAAGAGGTGGACAAGGAGACGAATACGCTAATCAGTGGTATTGGTGTGAGCATCTGTGACTCCAATGATACTCGGCTGTGGGAGGTGAAAAAAGTCTTGGGATTTGAAGATTTTACAACTTCGAAAGTTCCAGAATTGACAAATCTGATTGAAAGTTTGAAATGGGCTGCGCTGGAATTTTGTCTTCAAAATGTCACATTCTATTATGATAATTCTAATATCCTTGCTTACGTTAATGTTTTTTTCCTTAACCCTTTTTTCAGAATCTTGGCTCATATTCTGATTTGAATGTCTTTTGATAAGCATATATATATATGTTTCATGATTCATAATTGGTGCGTAGGCTTTTTGCTTAATGTGTTTATAAATAGGTTTAGGCTTTGTGGTAGTATCAAAATTTCACCTGAAATGATCACATCTCTCAATCTATTTACTAATTGCTTTAAATGCCTTAGTTTAGTCTTAGGATGGACGGACTAAACTTTAGGTTTCTTTGTTTCCTCCACTTCGTCTTGTTTGTTTTTCATTATAAATCGTATTCATGTTTAGAATTCATATACTGTTCTGTTTGATTATCTGTTTCTTCTATCGTGAAATTTTACGTCACTTTCCTATAAATCATGGTGTGTTATCCTTCACTTTGCATATGACAAAGCTTGTCTTTTTCTATTCTATATGTGATAGATGACATGTAATGTTGAATCAAAACATTCCATTGTAGCATCACTCATCAAGAAAGTAGCTCTTCTTCGGAGCAGATAAGTGCAAGCGAGAAAAGAAATAAGAGCTCATACCAGAATCTGCTTTAGTTCATTTTGGGTTTTGGATAGTTCCGATAGAAGATTAAGGATTTATATAGGAACCGATTTTTTTTTTGGTTCGGATTGATTTATGTATATTTTCGATTTGGATAATATAATTGAGAACCAACATAAAACTGAAATTTATTCAAGTTTAATTTAAATAAGACATTTTTAACGGAACTAC